AAGTTACTTTTCCGTGGCAGGAAAAAATCGATATTTTCCTCATCACAAAATTCACAATTTTTTATCTGTCTCTCACGTGACGCAACAAATTAAATAAGGAGCCTGCGAAAAAGTCCCCCTCGTTTGCTTCAAGTTGCACCTGTCCCTGCTTAAATTCAAAAGGGCCGGTCTAGTTGAGTACAACAGAAGCACATTCCTGCGTCGCCATGGAATCGGTTCGACCAAACAAATCGCGAGTGGAAAACGCACACGCGATAAATAAAAACACGGACCGGTAACTATGCACGATAACCCACTCACCTTAAACTAATTTCTGATCAAAAGCAAGAATCGATTAATGAAGAGCAAAAATTTAAAGAAGGAAAAAAACGGGTAAATTAATTTATTTTTCATTCAAATAATTGAAATTAAAAAAGCAAAAGCTTTGTATTTGTTTAAAGTTGAAAATAAAATTTTAATCAATTTAATTTACAAAAATATGTGTTCTAAATCTAACCAAATTTTCTAAAATCTAGGATGAAAAATTGAACTTTTGGCCACGGAACCTTTTCAGGAAAAAGAAAAAGTGTAAAAAGAATCGCAAAAAAATTTCCTTAAAAATTAATTATAAAAATCAAACAGCAAATTTTTATAAATGACCAGATTCATATTTTATGAAATTTGATTTTAAATTTTTACCCACTCAGTCTTTTACTATTACTTTTTTTCAAATAACAGACAATTTCTCAAAGCGGATGACAAATTTTTCTGTCCCAAACAATTAATCTCCAATTTAAAAGCTGCGAATTCAAATTTCAATGTTTTGCTCCAATTAATATTTTCTCCGGAAAAACACAAAATAACTCATATTTGCACAACTTCTTTTGTTTCTGCTCCGAGAATTTCATCATTTTCCAGTTTCGACGACAAATAAATAAATTTTTTCGCCGTGCCGCAAAATCTTCCGTTTGTTTGCCGGTGTGTCTGTGTACCTAGCCTAATAAAAAGCATTATTAAAGCGCGAGGAAGAGATGCTCTGAGCAAACAGCAAAGTCACTAACTGTTCAGCCGCGCTCAGTTCTCACACGGCGCGAGATCGACTCCGCTGAAAATTAAAAAGGCAGCCGAGAGAGCTGCTCAAATATAGCGGGGCTTTCCTATATCTAGGCCGACGCACATTTCTCATTCATAACGCACTGCCACCGTCGTCGGTCTCCAATGCCGCGCTACGAATTTTGATCACAAAACTATTAGTGCGGTCGGAAGGATGCACACTTTCTGCGTCGACATTGATGTCAAATCGCTCAAAAGAAACTCGGTTTACTTGCTTTTTTGTAAATTAATAATGAAAATTCTCATTTGAAAATTTAATAAAATTTGAGGAAAAATTCTAGATATGGTATTAATTAAAAAAAATGATTATGAATCAAATAATTTGGTTTTTTTCTTAAAACTTTAATATTTTTAAACCTTAGGGTATTTCTGGAATATAAATAAAATATTTTTCATGGGCAGAATGTCCATCAGATTTTAGAAAAGTCCCAACAGGGGAGCAGTGTAGCCTAAAAAAAAAGATCAGCTCATTCAATTGTTCCAATTGTTTTAAATTACAATAATTAATGAAAATTTGCCAATTTATACAAAAATGGAGATAGAAATTAATTTAAAATTAATTCAGTATTTAATGAAAATAGAATTGATTTTTAAATTGAATAATAACACTCGAGGTGGATTTCATGAATAATTGAAACCGGGCGAACCTCGTTGCAAAGAAAAAATGAAAAAATAAAGGACAACTGACCCCAAAGGCGACCTGCGGTCTGCTGGTACTTTAAAAACCTAGGGTTTTGTCGTGTCCCAACTAAATCTAAGTGGGAGGAATTCATAAAAAATTAAAAATTAAATGCTTAATTAATTTCTGCAATTTTTGTTTATTTAAATTAAATTCTCCCCATTTTATTTTTAATTTTTTATGAATTCCTCCCACTTAGATTTAGTTGGGACACGAAAAAACCCTAGGTTTTTAAAGTACCAGAATTGATTTTTGATTTAAATTTCTTTAAACTTTTATTCAATATAATAAAATTTATAATTCAATTTTTTTTTTAAAAAAAACGTTGATTATTTCACTTTCTAATTTGAACATTTTACTTTGTAAATTATTTGTACATCCAAGTTTGTAAAATTTAAAGGGGAAAAGCTTTGCTTTAATTGCACGGACGGTAAGCAGAAAATTGAACTCTTCTCTGTACATTTATTTGTATTATTAGATTGCGTGCGTGTGCACATCTTTTCGATTTCAAGAGGATGCGCTGCTCGCTCAAGCACACACTTCTTTTTTCCCTTTTTTTTTTACTTTTCAGCGTTTTTGTTCTGCGTGCACACGAAGTCAGTCTCTGTACAAACACAACACGAAGGAAAGTTAACAAAGCCCACGAGGAGCTGCACTTGAGTGTGTATTATTAATATTACTTATTTTTTTCAATACACTCGAGCGTCTGAGATCACGAGTGGGTAACGGAATGCGCCATTAAAAAAGCGAAATAATCCCACGAGGATCCTGCGATTTTCCCCCGCGGCACCCAAGGACTGTATTACTGCGATCATGTCGATCGCGCTCCTGGGAACAATTTCGCTTTACTCTCTTGGAAAATATCATACAATATTCGAGAAGAGATGACCTCTTTTGATGAATCGATTTTTACGATTAATTTGTGACAATTCTCTTTTATTTAAAAAAAATAATGGTTTTTTAATTATATTTGAAATATTTTTCAAATTTTTGGTTATTTGTTTTAATTTACTATATTTAATATTCTACTTAAGATTTTTTGAATATTGTCATTAATTAATGATTAAATATAAAAATTTAAAAGGCTGGAAACAGAAAGAAAATTGATGTTTTAAATAATGCCTTTTTAATTCCAAATCCATTGTTTGAAAAATAGTTTTACGGTTTATTTAAACCATGATTTTAATTATTTTTTTTTGAACAACAAATGATTTTGCAATAATTATAGTAAAGATTAAAATTTAATTAATTTTGCTAAACTATTAGCAATTATTTTAATTTGATGATTTGAAAATGTTCAGTTTTGATTCCTTTTCATTTTTTTCAATTTAAAATTTTTATAGACAGAAAAGAATAAATAATCATAAAAATAATTAAATTCAACTTTTTTCATTTTAATTTTTTATCACACAAGAACTCAAAACCCAATTCCGTCACTTTTAGTTTCAAAATTATTTTCAATAAAATTAACTGTTTCAAACTGCAATTTAAATTTACCGATTCTTTCTTATACAAATTGCATTCCAACTGCTCTCCGTCCGACAGATTTCGACGGTTCACACAGAATATAATAGCTTGGAATAAATCAAAGTCTCTCTCCGATGCGATCGGCCAAGTAGAGCAGAACACAAAACCCTTCGCTTCGTCTCCGGACTCTCCGGCTGACGGTCGAAGTAAATTATTATTTATTCAAAACTCCGTACTTAGCGAGGCTATTATTATATTCCAAAAGAAAGATATGAATTGACGAGAGTAAAGAGAGAGAACTGTTTATACTTGAACGAAATCAGTGCTGGGAAAATAAAAAGCTCGGCATGACTCCAGCTCGCGTCCCAATGTAAATCCCGGAGGATTATTTTATGAGATCACTGAGAGATGACTCGCGTTTTGTTTTCATTTGCCTTGAGTGCTCCTTTGTGTTTGGATGGGCAATACGACATTTTTTATAAGAGAGAAACGGAAACAAGAAGCAGAGAGATAAAGGGTCAATGGTTTTGAGTCTCAATAACGTAACTGTCTGGCCAATCAGCCTTGAACCTAATTTGCCTCCAACTTAACCTAGCGTGAAAATTCTACTTTTTCGAAGCAAAGGAAATTCTAACGGGTTTTTAAATGAATTGTTAATTGCATTAAAATAAAAATATCAATTTCAGATATTATTAATAATTTAAATGCAGAATTAAATTCAATTAATTTATAAAGAAACAAAAAAATGAATAAATCATCAATTTATGGAGAGTTGGATTAAATTTTCTGCTATAAACATTTGAAAACCTTGATGGTTTTACTTTTTAAATGGAATAAAATGCAATTTATTGGCAGTTTTAGAATCTTGCCGGAATCGTGTTTGGGCAATAAAACCGCGAATAATGTTTCACAGTTTCAGGATGAAATTTACGATCGACTTGGGGAATTGTTTACGGTGGAAAACTTTAAATGCCAGCGGATTCTCCGACTGAGAAAGGGATCCCATTAAATCAGCCTCTCTTCGAAAGTTCGTAAATTGTTGCGGGCAGATTTATGCAAGAATAATTTCGCCTCTTTTGTCTGCAAAATAAAAAGAGCTTGAAATGCCAAAGTGTGACAATTGCTATAGCTCGTCCTTGCCGTTTGAATGGAAGCAGTTTCGCTAATTTGAATCGGGCTGCCTTGAGTTTTGTGCAAATCTGCGTACAATGAGCACTTGGAGTTAATGACATTTTGTACTTATATAAATTCGTGTCTGCACTTTTTGAGGTCACGTGCATGTTGAGCGATTACGGCGGTTTATGTCATTGCGAGAGATGACTTCATCTCCGTGAATAGCCGAGAATTGAAAAGTCACACCTTTCGCAAAGGAGAAATCAAATTCAGTAATTATTTGAAATCATACAGTCGTTGAAATTTATTTAAAATTTAAGAAATCTATAGTTAAAAAAAAAATAATGTTTAAAATACAAAATATAGATATAAAAATTTCCAAAAAAATTATTTTTTTTAATTTAATTAAAACAAAGTAAAGTTCCAAAAGTCTCAGTCAAAATAAATTTAAAAAAACTTTTTTAAATATTTAATAATAATTTAACAATGAAATTTATTAAAAAGAAACTTAAATGTCACATATTAATATGAATTTAATTTTCCAAAATTTAATTACAACCATTTTGAATTTGTTTAAATTTAAAATATCATTCAGGGCCTCTTCGTCTTTCAGCCTTGAGTGCAATATTTACTGATTCACTTTGCTTACCTTTCAAGGAGGGTTGAACGGTTCTCCGACACCCACACGTCAGGTTCTTTCTTCTTCCGAGGTTAAGCTCGCAGGACAAAACTTTGGTTCGAGTTCGTTGGTGATTTCAATTATTTTTTTCTTTCCTAACAGTCTTTGAGTGCGAAGAAAGTAGGCAAACACCGGTCGGCAGACGGTTCACTCGGTGGCTCACTAGTGCGCTTACGGTAAATATCCTCTCCGTGGGTCCGACACCTGGTGCGACTCGCAGGGCACTGCCTTGCCAGACCTGCCTCCTGCTCACGGCTACCTTGCCTCTCCTCCCTCCCCTGCGTCGCCGCTCCGAACTCCGAACACAAGCCAGACTTACCCATTATGGCTCTGCTGGTGTAAAATACTTTTTTATTTTTTATTCCTTTTTTAATTCGCTCGAAAATTCATAAGGACGGTTTTATTTTTAGTCAAATTCAAAATATAAATGAAAGAAAGAACGACTTATTTAAATTAAAAAGATTTGTAAACAATTGCATTTTAGCAATTTTCTGAAGCGTAATGGGCAAACCCGCGCAACACACAATATTGAATTATTTTAATTACTATATTTTAAATTAAGCAATTCATAAATACGAGTATTGCGTATTGCGTTCTGCATTCAGGTTATCTTTCAATTTAATTTAATATTTTTAGACTCCGAATCCGACAAATATTTCTCGGCGTGGATGGCTTTTTAGATTTTGCTTCACTGGTTGCATAACCAAATCCCCGCAACATACTGAACAAATTTTGAATTTCAAAATATGAAATTGAAAATTGAAACTTAAGATAAGTTCGGTATTGAATATTAAAGAAAATTTAAAGTAAAAAAAAGAATAATACAACATGATTAAAATAAAATTCAATTTTATACTGTTGCTTTTTTTCTTTATGTAATTGCCGTTCTTTTATTCAAACTCGTCATACCATTTAGAATAAAAAAAATAAAGTTACGAATCCTCACGCAGTTTTGAATTTACGCATAAAATGACTTGCTAAAAATTAACTTTTTAAAAGTTTTTTTCTCTTTTTTGCTCGACAATATGTATATTAAAAACAAAATTTTAGCCTTTATAATTCACTATAATTATATCAATAAAAAATAAATCCATACAATATTGTTTATATTTTAGTTTTTTATTGATTTCTATCATACAGTTAATGGTGTCATTCAGTTTCTTCTGCAAAGTCCAACAATTTTATTGTAAAAACTTGTGGCTACATAATTTTCTGCAATTGGTCTACATTTTAAAAAATCGACTAGATTATAAAAGAACAAAATAAAACGGTTCAAAAATAAAACCTTAAAACAAAACCAAAAGGCAGAAAAAGCGACTAGAACAAAATAGGCAAGTATTTGAAAAATCGGGAAAACTAGCAAAATAAAATTAAGAAAAATAATATGAGCAAGATATTTTTGTCATTGACTAGATGAAAATTTTAAAATCATAGTAAAAAACTGGCGTACAAATTTATATACACAAAAATTAAAAAACTTTAAAAGCCGAAACGAAATACATAAAAGCAAATGATACATAATTCCAGAGTGTGAATTTTTTTTTAAATGGGAAGAAATTTAAAAACTAGAGCTTCATGTTCTTCGCCCTTGTCGCGGCCTCAAAACCGGGTGACCTTGAGGGGTGAGGGCGGTGAGTCGTATCTCGCGTAGGTGTTCTCAGGGGAGGGTGACCTGACCATGCGGGGCGACGCGTACGAGCGCCCCGCCTTCAGGGTGGACGCGGCCGACTGGTTGCCCCTGGGCTGCTCCGAGTAGTAGTTGGGGTTGGAGACGCCGGCGGCCGCGTACTGCGGCGACTTGGGCAGCGGCGGCGCCGCCGGCACCTCGTCCTCCACGTAGTGACCTCCCTGGTGCACGTGGTGCACGTTGTGCACAGAGTCGTACAACGCCTGCTGACCAAATAATTTTAAATTCAGCTTAAAAACGTCCAAATTTTTATTCAAGCAAAATTTCAAGTAATTAATTTTTAACTATTAAAATTCAAAATTAATATTACATTATGAAAATAATAAATATCCAATCAAAGTTGACATGAATTAATTAGAAAAGAAATATTAAATAAATAAATTAATTTTTAGGGGCTTTAATTAATAAGAAGGTATTTAAAAATTATAATTAACTTCAAAGCTATAATTCCTAAACAAAAAAGGCCCTGAGCATTCATATGTTTTATTGTTCAGAGAAAATTCTTTCAAAGTTCTCCGTTTAAGAAAAAAATTAAATGATTTTTGGCAATGTTTCTTTATTTACATTAAATATAATTGGAAAAAAAAAAAAAAATTTACAGTTTCAACATTTTGATTGATCAAATCAAAGTTTACTTTAAAAAAAAGGATGATTTTTAAAGAAATAAAATTTAATCTTCAATTTTCATTATTTTTTAATAAACAATAAAACTAATTTAAAGAAAACTAAAATATTTATGTTCATAAATCAATGAAAAAGTTATTTAATTATATTTGATTATTATTATTTGTAGTTAAATAAAATTTCCATATAAAATTAAAGCTCTTGATGGAAATTCTATTCAACTACCAATATTAATAATAAAATACAAATTTTTCTTTCATATTTTTTTAATAAGATAAATATTTCAGTTCTCTTTTAGTTTTATTGTTTATAAAAAATAAATAAATAATACAATTTGGATATTAAATTTTATTTCTTTCAAAATCCTCCTTTTTATAAAGTAAATTTTGATTTGATCAATCAAAACTACTATTTTGAAAATCAATATTTTCATTTTTTATGTAAATGTAGAATTAAAGTTTCAAATCATTGAATTTTTTACTGTTTTACTGTTTCTCCTTCAAGATAAATAAATGAAATAAACAGTGAATCATTAAATAGTATCAATAAACAAAAATTAATACAAACCTGGCTGGATCTGTACTGAATGTCGAGGATGTTTGTGGAGCTGGAATAGGCCGCTGCAGCACAAGGAATGGCGGACGCGATTCTGGCCCTGGTGACCGACGAGACGATCAAGTACGTCCTGGGAATGAAGACGGCCGAGAGGACGACGCTGGCGCAGGCCACCTGTCCGACGGCGATGACCATCGGCCGCCACGGCTCGTCCAAAATCACAAAGCCGGTGACCCAGAAGATCCAGCACGTGGCGCACATCCAGCTGGCCAGGCAGAAAAAGAAGCCCTCGCGGTAGTTGCGCTTCGAGCGAGCCACCAACGGGCTGATCAGCACCAACATCAGCATCAGCAGGAAGTCGTAGCCGAGGAGGAGCAGGAAGGAGCCCCTGTGTTGGTGGCAAACCACGTTGCCCTCGGCCTCTGACGACGGCATCGACAACAACTCGGACTGGTTGAAAATCAGAAACTGCGCCGTCAAGCCAACCTAGAAATTGAAATGGAATTATTTTTAATTTATTATTAAATCAAACTGGAGGTGTTTTGTTAATTAATTGTTGTAGTTAAAAATCTTGAGATCTCTGACATTTTTTTTTAGATATTTTGCACATATTTGTGAAAAAAATTGAGCTAATTAGAACCAACTAAAACTAAATCAACGGAACGGACAAAGTGACACCAATTTTTTTTTGTTTTTTTTTGAAAGATTCATCTTGGTGCTATTTCCACTCAAATCAAACCGAATTTAAGGATTTAATAATGGGATTAAATAAGAATTCAAATTATTTCATTGATTGAAACTAGCATTTTTTTAAATTTATAATCACTTAGATTCCAGTAGATGTTATTAGAGTTTATTTCCAATGTATCGTCCATAAATAAATAAATAATAATTTATATCATCGATACGAAATTATAGGAGCATTAAAATTATATTGATATTTTTTATCTATTCAATTTTTACCACTTGACATGATAAATTATTTTTCACATTTTCCTCTTTGAGCCGTTTTTTTTTTTCATAATAGACGCGTTTTGCATTAACTGATTGGCAGGCTGTGCAAAAAGTTGCTGCGGCATTTCAAAAACGAGATTAGCGCGTTGCCAAGGAAGCCCGCGAGCAACAAGCTGCGGGGTTATGCAACCGGGCGTACCGGCGCGTTAACACGGTTGCCTACACAACTCTCTCGGAGAGAGAGAGACGAGCTTCGAGCTTACCCACATTTATATATAGAGAGGCATCACAATCTCATTCTCCGCCTCGCCGCCTACTCTCTGCGGCTCATTTTATTAACGAGAAAAGCTGCGAGGGAAATAAATCGAGGAAAAAAATGACGGCAAATCTACAGGGCGGCTTCTTTATATGGAAATGCCAAAGTAAAGCAATAAATAGACACACAGAGAGAGAATTACTTCTACGACTTCACTCTTGTGAACAAAGAAAAAATCAAAGAGATTAAAGTGAGGTTGCAAGGGTTTGAAAAATACTAAAAAAAAATTGCAGAGAAATAAAGCGGCTTGCAAAAATTTAGTAAAAGGTAAAATCGTTTGTAATTAATTTGTAGTTTTCAAAAACTGCCTGTTTTAAAACAATTTTATGAAAATAATTTTGTGTCGAGAACCAAAATTTTATAGAATTGCAATAAAATGAAAGATATTTTCATTTTATTTTGTCTTTTTAAAAGAAAAGACAAAAAGAGAGACATTAAGTCATTTAATTTAAAAAAAAAAAAAAAAATTGGAATGGGTTACGAATTTGATTTTAATAGAAATTTCGTTTACTTCTATGTCAGAAATTTTTCTCAATAAATCTGTCTTTGGCAATCAAAACTAAATTTTATTTTTCTTCAATTTTTTTTGTAATTTTAACTTGAAGGGTGATTTTTGTACCTGAACTGCGACGATGAAGAACCAGAGCGCGGCCTGCAGGTATCCGCTGACGTGGCTCATGAAGCCCTGCTCGTCGGTGGTGGTGAGCATGATGGCCCTGGCCAGCATCACCGACAGCAAAAGCGCGTAGCCGAGGCACGTGCCGAGCTCCCTGATGACGCACAGCAGTCGCGGGCCCGAGCCGCAGTAGGGCAGAACGGCCACGTAAGTGAAAATCACCCCGAACAGCAGGATGAACGAGAAAGTTGGATTTCCCTCCAACACGTCACCTGCACACAAATTTTATCATTTAGAAATAATTTAAAAAAAAAATTAAAAGAAAGAACCTTTGCACATTCTCGTAATTATGAAAACGGCCACAGCGAAGGAAAGAGCCACCCCTACGCCGGCCACTGAAGTCACCACCGCCACCCAGATTTCACCGTTCCACCTGATCAGAGACCAAACCGTTGGTCTGTACACCTGAAAATAAAATTAAAAAGGATAATAATAAAAAATAAAATGTATGCATTAAAAATCCAAAATAAATTATTAGAGACGGGAGAAATTAATTAACCTGGAAAAATTTGTAAGAAAAAATCTACATTGAAAAGAGTTTACAATTAATTTTTACAGTAAAATTCATTCATATCAAAATAACCCTTTCAATGTCCTCTTTCAAACCATGTGAGGCAGTTTTCACTTGAATACAACAAACAAGTATTGCAATGCTCAAAGGTCACGGGTTCAATCACGGACCGAGCATCAAAACAATGGAACTAAATTGATTGTTTTATTGTTGTTTGAGCTCCCAGTTTAGTCCGCATTGGAAAACTCCTATCAGCACGCTCGGCAACAATCGAAATGTGTTTAGATTGTTGGGATATGTGCAGATCTTGGGGTCAATGACGTTTTGTGGTCAGCAAAATTTACTGCTGTTCACATCGAATTAATTAAAAAAAAAATGGTTCTAATTTATGATGAAAATTTATTTTACAGATTTTTTTGCAATTTATTTAAAAATTATTTAAAAAAAAAATTAAATGCAGTTCAGCGATCGACTTAGTTCAAAATTTGCATTCAAATTGATTCTAACAAGATTTTTCATGTTGTTCAATATATTTGGCTGCCATTTCTCTCCAAAATGGAATCCGACAATCTACTGGCATGAATTTTTATGGAGAATAAAGTTATAAATTTGGAGAAAAATCAATTGAATGAATAGAACAAAAGGAAAGTTGGCTTTCATTTCACCAGAAAGGCCATTTTAGAGGTTCAAATTTTTAATTTAAACATTTCAAAATCGAGTCAAATATGGAATCCAATGATTTTTGAAGACCTCCGAGTTGAAAAAGTTTTAATTAAGACGATTCTAAACCGTTCAAAAAAGGAAAACTTTAAAATACAAACGTGTTGGGGCTAAATTAAAATTTTTAAATCCGTTAAACGCCAAGATCTGAATAATTCTGACCTCGTTTAGACAGACGCAGTCCTTCTCACAGCCTCCTTTGGCCCAATCGTCCAGAAGGTCGATGGTCCCGTTATCCGTCTGGAGTTGGCCTCCAGGGAGAAGGTCCCCGACCGTCTCCACGCAGTTGGTGCTCAGCTCGACCTTTCCTATTTTGAAGTTGGCCTCGGCGTGACCTGACTTGGCGTTGCGCGGCGGCTCGAGGGCCGTGGGCGCCAGGGCGGCGTCCTGGCTGAAGTTGTGCCGGGCCAGCGGCTTGAGTTGGGCGCACATGCTGAACTGGCCGCAGTCCTCCAGCAGGGCCTCCCTGAGCCGGCTGACCGCCTCCAGCACCACCAGGGCGGCCCTCTTGAGCTCGGCCAGGTGCGCCTCGGCGGCCAACGTCCCCGGCCCGAGGGCCTCGAGCGTCTCCTGGTTGACGAGGGAGTCGAGGCGCAGGGCCGCCTCCGCGGAGGCGGCGGCGATCAGGGTGTTGGGGGGCAGGCCCTCGTAGGTGGCCTCCTCAGACACGACCTCCCACGGCAGGTCCGTCGGCGCCAGCAGCCACGACAGACTGGTGAAGTTGCTGTTGGACTGGATGCCCTCGAGGTGCTCCTTGATCAGGGTCCACGGGCCCAAAATCACGGCACTGCCGCCCTGAGACGGGTATCCAACTTCAATGTCCACAAACGATTCATCACTGAAATATATAAATTAAGATTACCAATGAAATTAAATTAAGATTAAGATATAAAATTATCTTCCAGATGAAAAAGGTTAATAAATTTAACGGTTATTTGAATAAACAAATATTTGTAAAGTTTTGATTCAATTTAAAATTCTGACTATCAAAGAGAGCAATAAAAATATTAAAAAAAATCTTTTTGTAACTTTAAGTCATTTAAATTAACAGAATCCACTTAACTATTGTCATTTATAGAAATAAAATTATAAAAAAAAAATAGATTTGATCAGCATTTTAATCCGCCCTTGCACCAAAATGGTACAGTTGCTGAAATTATAAGCATACAAAAAAAATTGAAGATACTCGGTACAATCTTTGTAATTGACCAAGATAAAGCTAATTAATTTAATTTTAAATCCCAATCAGTAATAATAAAAAACATTAATTTGATAATGTTTCACAAAAATAACTTAGGAATAATATTTTGATTTTTTTTTACCGATTTTTAGGAATTTCATTTGAAATAAATAATGGTAGTGAATTTGTGGCACTCACTTTAAATCCATTACATCCTGCCAGGTGACGCAAATGTCCATTTTCTTGGCCAAAGCTGAAAAAACCCGGAGTGCGGCCGCCGAGTGTGCGACAACGGCAGTGTGTGTGACATTTAGAGCTTTCAGCGTCTGAACAGCAGCGAGTGCGGTCGGCCCGAGAGTTTTTGGCTCTGGCAAGTATTTCCCAAAGGACTCGATGTCCAGGGCGTCTAATAACGCGTGGATCGTCTGGGCTGTTCGATAACTGGACAAAACACCTTATCGGAAAATAAGAAGAAATTTATTAATAAATTTAAAAGGCAAATAAGTTTCATTTGAAACAATCAAAGTTAAAAATTAAGATACTGAAATATAAAATTCAATTATTGTTATTAAAACGGAAAATTTTGATTACAATAATAATTTTTTCATTCAAAACATTTCCATTAATAAAAATTCAGTTATTTTCACGTCTATCATTTTTACTATTCAATTCAATTTTAATTAATTTTATTTACAAACCTATGGAGAAGTGGCCATCGCAGTCCGCCTCAGAAAGGGCCGACAGGGCTGCTTTTTGGGTGACGACGACGTTGCTGCACGTGTCAAAAACCTCCAGTCCTGTAAAATTCAATAACTTTGCTGATTTTATTTTGTACTTAGCTCATGAGCTACTTTTGCCGTAACTTTTGCGCTAAACTGGCGCGTGCAATAAACTTTGTAATAGAATTGCTCACGGACCTATATTGATTCCGGGGACGAGGCTGACAGCGTTCGCTTCAGACACGGCCCACGCGATCGCGGCCATTTGTTCCAGGCCGACGGCCACCGGGATCGTGCAGTTCTCTCCAGTGTGGCCATCAACAAGGACTGCAAATTTAAATTGAAATTAAATAATGGATTAAGAAAATATTCATGAAGAAAGAGGATGTAAATTCTATTTTTGAAAAAAGTAATACATTTGTAAAATTTTAGTGTTATTATTTATTTATTTATTTAATTTATTTTGCATTGAATTATTATTGACATAAAATTTCGTCAAAACCAGGTCAAAGCGAAATCCAAGGAAATTTTCGGTAGTAAAAATGAACCATTTTCATTTAATTTTTTACACGATTTTAAAGAAAATTCAATTGAATTGGAATAAAAAATAAAACATGATTTGATTATTTGAATTTCAAATCTTCAATTGGATTTATTCATTGCAACTTCAGCATCTGAAATATTGAATCCAAGGACAGAAAATTCGCTTTCTCGAGAAATCGTTGAAAAATTTACAATTTCCTTTTTCGCTGATTTGTGTGAAATTTCCGTCGTTACAACAGAGACAAGGGTGAATGTCGAGTGGCACACAAGTGGGGGTGGGAGGGGATGATGACGAGTGAGGTCACCCTCGTTCGCCCACCAACTTCCGGCCATACACCTGGCATTGTGCGCCGCGGGACGGATTTTACACGCGCCGTGCATGCATGAATGTGGAGGAGACGCACGGGAATAAAAATTGTCGCAACTCACAAAACGTGGCAAACTTTATCGATTTTGAGAATTTCAAAAGGCACGCAATTTCGAGTGAGAAGTAAAACGCAAAATGTTTGGATGACGAAGATTTAAAAAAAGGAATTCAGTAAAATTATTATGAAATTAATAATGGAATATTATTTTAATTTAATTTATTACTATTTTGAATAATTAGAAATAAATAATTAAACTTATAAATATTGATTATATCCAAAGAATAATTTTTTTTTAAAATTTAATTTAATTTTAAATAAATAAATAATTGATTCTTACCTGTGAGCACCGCCTGTCCGGGGATAGACAAATAGGGCACGAAGGACCTGGGTTCGCAGAGGACGTCGTGCTGGTCAGGGTCGGCTCTGACCCTGAGCAGCAACAGGGGCACCAACCACAGGTGCGGCGGCAGCTGCATGTCTCTCTGCTCTTCTGCGGCCAACTGCAAAAAGTAGTAGTTGTTTTTTTTCACTCCGAATTTTTCTGTTTTTATTTTTGATTGAACTCTGGCTCTGGTTGTTTCACATCGCGTGTCTGGCCAGCCACTGAATTTAAGTTATTCCTCGCAGGGTGAGTCTCTCTCTCTCCGCCGGCCTCACGTGGCTGCCGAGCTCACTCTCGCTCAAAATGCTGAGGGATCGATTTTGCCCACCCCGTCCGTGCTCAGTGCCGCGCGCTATATTGCATTATTTTATGCTGTGTCTCTCTGCTTGCTAAAGTTAACCGAGTTCTTTTCCTTCTTTTGACGGTGAAGTCCCTCGGTCGCGTGGGTGGAAAAGTTGAGCACAGATTTCCCCCGACAGAAAATGTCAAAAATGGGAAACGGAAACGTTATTTATTTCAAAGAGAAATAGCGAAAAACGCGTCGTGTTTTTCCTTTCCGAGTGAGGAAAACAAACAATTTTTTACATCCATTTTATTGGGAAATTTTATCACATATTAGATTCAAAAAAATAGAAAATTAAATGTTTTTTTTTTAATTTTTTACATAAAGTATGCATGAATTATTTGGAAGAAATTATAACACTCGAGGATGTGATCATGGAAGTGAAGTAATTGGGCTATTTCCCTCGTTGTGAAAATTTTTTTATTCAAAAGCCGTTTTATTTTTGAATAAAAACAATTTTTACAACGAGGAAAAAGCGATTTCTTCACTTACATTAATGAATTACTTATTTTTTAATTTTTATTTTTAAATGCTACTCATTTCCTGGTTGACTTGAAGTTTGCGTTTCGCGATTGCATTATCAAATCTTGAAATGAGATTGAATTGCCTGTTTCTGATAGCGAGCTGGCAATTAATTAATTTCAGATATTCGGAAAGAAAGTGTATCTTTTTGCTTTACATCATTTTTAGAAGTTTGACGAGTTATTAATTTCAATCAAAATTAACAGACCGCCAATGTTGAAAAATGTCTTTGCTCTTGAGCTCAAATTATATAATTAAAACAAGCAACGACGATAAATGCCCTTCAAATTTCAAAGAAAATGCTTTATTTAATATTTTTCTTAAAGAAATGAATAATTTTTTTTGGAATTAATCATAATTGGCAAACTGTCGCTAAACTAGTAATCAGTAATTAATAATTGATACAATTTTAGCAAATAATGGAAATTAAATTAAAACTAGTAAGATTCCCTTCTAATTTTAGCACATTTATAGCTTCAGCAATTTGTTCTGCTTGTGGAATTACCTATTTTCCAATCCTGCAATTACACATACTCATTATTTCTTATGGTATTTTGAATTTAAAATCGGCTTTGCTACAAAAACAAAAACAAAAAACATGGAGGAAAAACTAATATTAAATTCATAGTAACGTGAATCAACCCCTTATACAATAAATTTGGAATGATATTTCCTAGGACTTGTAGAAGCAAAATAAAATTATACATCCTCCTTCTATGAAAAAAGTAATCGATAATATGTATCTGACACTCTCTTTGCTTTTTACGCAACAAATAAAGATATAAATTTATAGATAGTGTTGAGCTATAAAAGAGGAAATTTATCTTTACAAACGAGTTAGCTAATTAGATTAATTATTAAACCATTATTTGAAAGCCAGAAACAACGATCGAATGCGAATTAATCTCGAGTGGTAATTACAGCAGTAATTATAGAGTTCTGCGTGCAATTTCAATATTTGTCCTTGTGCGGCTGCGACAAGAAGGGCGGCTCAAGAACGACCCACTCTCGGCGAACGTCAAGTTTATCCAAGAGTGCTCTCTCTGCCGGTGCAATGAGCTACAGAGAGAGATGAGGGAATGGTGTGTGCATGTGCTTAATTGGCATCAAAACATGACATATACGTACCCAGACACACGATTCCCAAGTTGTGTTCAAATTCAAAACCCTTTAGACGCGAATTGCTCGATTATTATTATTATATAAGTATACAACTATTGCCAATTAGAACGTAGGTGTATGGCTGCTTTCCCTGGCTCTGCACAAATACATACTTGACGCGCGGTCTTTGTTGCTTTTAATTAGCATACACTCGCGAGGGCTGTTATTTTGTTGCCATAGTAACTCACCCACTTTGCAAACGATTCTAATTCGCCCTGCCGGTGGTGGAACAATCGAGGGAATTAAAAAATAAAACTCATCGATTTATTAGAAATTCAAATGTATTTTTGAATTTATTTTGCTCTGAAATTAATCAGCATAATGGAACCAAATTTACTATTTTGAGAATTTCTGTTAATTTTTGGAGATCATTTTATGTAATTTTATTTTGCTGAAATTAATTATTGCTTCTTTTCGGCTAGAAAAAAATCTAATTTTGAATTTTAATGATTTTTCTTTTTTATTTAATGAATTTTTTTGTTTCAGCATCCTGAACATCTTGAGTTTTGTCATAATTTTTAAAACAGTGCAAGGAAAATCAAATACGTCTTAATTTTATATTCTAATCTTCACTTTTTTTAAACTTTTGCTAAAGGTTTCTTTCTTATTAAACTAAAATTTGAGCCCAGAAATTCCCTTTTTACAAATTTAGACTTTTGCCCCCAGTCTATTCATTGCATATAAAAATATAAACTTTAAAAAAAGCACTGCTGTGTTATAATGCCTTTGATATAATATGGCTTCGTTTATTTATTGGATTGGCTGTTGAGAACTGCTGACGACGGCCGAGAGCCCAAAAAGTGGCAACACCCGAGACCAAAAGCAATCTCTTCTCCCTTTTTGAACAAATGTATTCAAAAAAGACGAATCTCTCTTCTATCAGTTTGATGGAAAAGGAGGGTAGTATCTGCGTCTACCCCTCTGAACTTTGCACTATATTTGATGGGATAAGAAGCTATTTCGGCCGACTTTGTGACTTTTTCAAGGCGCACTATGCTTTAATATTTTGCATTTTCGTTCGCTGCAGAGAAAAATAACTTGCACTTCTTTTTTATTTGCAGCCTAAAAAATAAATCCAAGAATATTACAAAAGGTAGGTTTTAATTTGATTCAATTTTTTTAAGGAAAAACCAATATCTTTATTTAATAGCTAAATTAATTTTGCTTTCAAACTTTTGGTTCTTATAATTAAAATCAACTGAAGTTATTAATAGAATTGTTTATCTCTGAACTGACCTATATTTTACTGCAGTAAAAGAACGGTTTAGAAGCTTGCACATTGTTTGATCTATTTGAGTATTTTTAACTTTACCTCCCCCAATTCATTCATAAATTAAGCGAAGTAAACTTAAGTGAAGTATTTTCGCTTGGGTTATCTGTTTCTAATCAACAAGGCAGGATTTATCGGCAATTTGATGAAAAAATACTTTCAAAATTATTGGTTCCTAAATGTTTTTATGAATTGTTCCAATAAAAAAATGATATTTAAGCCGAAAACTATATATTTAGACTTTTCATTTCAAAAGAACTACCTGAACTTTTAGATTATGTTGACAATTTTTTATAATTTTTATAAAATTGAATTGAATTTAATTATTTGTCCTCCTGTCTTTTAATTTTTAAAGGAATGGTAATAAAAAAATAGAAATTCGATGTGAAATTAAGATTATTCTGCGAAAACATAAATATTGATCTGTCACAATCTGTCATAAATTATTATTCAAATTTAAGGTTAAAAAGTTGGGTCTTCTTTATTCTAAATTGACTTTTATTAATTTCAACTAAAAATTCGCCATTTTATGATATAAAATTAATTTATTATCAGTTTTTCATCCAGAAAAAAAGGGTTTTTGTTATAAATGAACCCTTTGTTTTTATATCAAACTTTTCCTGATCTCTGTTCGCGGAACCAACATAAATGAAGTATCGATCCGCTCAATTTTTTTTTTTTTCATATGAAAATGGGACTAACCTGATAGAATTTGCCAGAGACGCGTGCCGTTACCAGAGTAGTTGTGCACTCGTTTCACAGTCCGTCGCCCCGCACTCGTTCAATATCACCAACACTAACCTCTCTCTACAGCGAGTATACATAAAAGTCTCTGGCGCTTTCGGCTGAAATTCTCCTCCGCGCGAAACTTGGTGTGATTCTTCATTGCCCGCTCGGCCGGCAAAAAGTGCACGTCATTTTATTCACTCGATGCATTCTTCGACTAGTGCTTTTTCTTTCGGTCGAACTGAAAATCGCACTGCTCTACTAAATTGCACGTCAAAAGAATAAGAAGCCCGACGAGTGCAACTCTCTTGAGAAATTTCTCTAAAAAGGGTTCCTTAATTAAAACGAAAAATTAAATGAAAAAGCAGCTCGGCAAACGCGCGACATTCAATTTTTTCTTCTCTTAAGCGAAAAAAAAATTATTTCGCCGAGGGCTGAGGAAATTGAGTGATGCGCGTCGAGTGCTTCCTGCCAAGTGGAAAAGGCTCAGCGCGAATTTTATTAGATTTTGCAAGCTTTCAAAGAGTGGATGATGATGGATGTCAGGGTCGCTGCAGGGTGCAGTTGAAAACGTGTGCGTAGCTCTCGGTGTACAGCAAATTGCAGGTGGCCGCGTTGTTTTCGAACGTCTGCTCCGCCACTTTGAACTCGGGATTGACGGCCACCTAATTATTATGGATAATTGCGGCTAATTAGGTAATTAAAGGGGTTCTCCAGCAATGATTTTTAGTCTATAATTTAAAAAAATAGACGAAATTTCATGACTGACGATGAATATCACGTTTAAATTTTTGCACTTCTAAGGGTTGAAACAGGGTTTTCATCAAAGGTTCACCTTTTCCCGCCAAAAGTATTTGAACCTTAATATGAAATTTAGTGAAATTTAGTTTATCAAGACAGTCAACAGATTCTTTTGACCTGAAAAGAACATAACCCTTATATTAAAATATCAAAATTTAGAATCTCTGCATTTCTAATCGTCATGCAATTTAGTCTTTTTTCAAATTCAAGAACAAATTAAAATCATTTTCCGGAGAGACCCTTTAATTATAATGGTAGGTCGTGTGCTGTGTAATTAAAGTGGAGCCTCACCTTAAAAGTGTACATTCCGGGCTTGAGCTCGGAGATGTCGACCCACTGGCAATCGATGTTGTGCTTGTAGATGTCGGCGCAGCCCACAGAAATGCCCTGGTCGCCGTAATTGGCGCACGCATACGCCGGTTTCACACCTGGTTTGCACTGATTGTCTTCCAGGCAGAAACTCGCCTTGTGCCCTTCGGCCACTTTGCGGCCGGACGCGTCGAACACGTCGAAGGTGGCAAAGACCTCCATGCTGTGGTAGTGCCTTAAAATCACGAAGAAAATGTTTAAAAAAAAAATAAAAGACATTTAAAGGATCTAGAATTAAAACAGATAAAATATTTTTTAAATAAATAATTGAGCTTTGAATTTAATTTAAATCCATTTTTGTGCCAAATTTTTATTTCCCAAAACAAAAATTAATTAATTATTTAAATTAGTTCCTTTTGAAGTTGGTTTACAAGTAATTTGTAAAAATCTTTTTAATAAAATCTAAATAATTAAATATTTTAAATCTTTTTTTAACTTTATTTTATTAAATTTAAAATTCAGTGCTTTTTTCAAGTCTTTTCAATTTAGAAATTAATAATTGTCCTCACATGTGGCACTGGTGCCATTGCCAGAGGTGTTTGGGCACAAACGGTCTGAAGTCGTCCGAGCCCACGTTTTGGATGGTGGCCGTGAACCTGAGCAAGCGGCGCGTGTCCAAATGCCAGTTCTCGTTCTCCTCGCGGATTTTGTACGCCTGGCTGGCTAGGCAATTTTCCTCCATCGCGCACTGAAGGAAAAACAGTTGCCTATCCTCCAAGTGGCTGGACCGCATCAACTCGTGGTGGTCAATAACTAAATCGGCCACGGCTGCAAAAAGATAATTATATGATCAGTTTTGTTATAAACTCTAAAAATTAACAAATCTCACCAGCTACAAATTTATGAACATTTCTATGTTCATAGGATAACTTTAATCAACTATAAATTTTTTTATTTAAAACTGCTTTTAATGAGAAATTTCTTAGATTTTGTCTTTCAAAGTTGGCTCTAAATAATGAAATTATTGTTTAAAATATGAAATTCTATGATGGCTTGAAATTTAAATTTATATGGAATTTTAAGCAAATTTTTTATGCAAACTTTTAATCCTTTTAAAAATAAAATATAAAATAACCTTGTGTACAGACGACCGCAGCGATATTTTCCGACTCGCCCGGACAATCGACTTCGTTGATCTGATGGTGCAGACAGGCATCGATGGACGCTTCGTTCCCCTGGCATTCCACCCCACTAAGCACCATTGGCGTCGTCTTGTTTGTCTCCTTGATTTGACAGAAAACAATAATTGAATCAATCCCGAGATTAACGAGAGTTTGATTAAAAATTAACCCAATTACTTTGGAGAATTTCGCTCCGAAGAAGTCGGTCTGGACGGCCGCGTTGGCGAAGCCGAAACCCAACTGTCTGCAAACGACCGCCGCCTCCTTCAAACCCCATCCGTCTCCGCACAAAACGCCCCATTCTGGAAATAAAAATAATTGGTTTAATACGATTATTGCAAAAAGTGATACGAAAATAAACCTTCCGTGGGAGAAAATTTCACTTCAACCCTGCCCTCGTCTGGAATTCTTCCTCCTTTCAGACGGAGCTTCAAAGGCTGTTTCACTGCGCTCTTGAAAAATAAAATAAACATACATTTTTATTTTACGTATCAATAAGTTTTCCTGCAAATTCAATTTTGGCAGAGTAAACAAAAAACTTCTATGTTACAAGGAGTAGAAAAAACATCGTCTGCTAACAGACGTCGATAACATTTTTGAAATTAAAATGTCCTCCAATTTGCTCAGTATGAATTTTGGACCTAAAAATCCATTATTTATCGAATGATTTGAAAATACGCCTGGATAAAATGTTATTTAGGTATAATTGGGTTATCTTTTATGAAAGTTGGTAACTTTTAATCCTGAAACTTTACATTTTATATAGGACTCGATTATGATGAAAGTTATTATATTGAAACGGCAGAATGATTTTTAACCAAATAAGTTGACTCTCTCTCTTTTTTTTTAAGTGATTTTTAGGCTTGAACTGAAATTAATATAGCTTATTTTAGAAGGAAATGGGAAAAAATAAAATAAAAAAGTTGCTTTTGATAAAATTTATCTTCAACAAATTAAATTGCGTAGTATATGTGGAACTGCAATAAGTCAGTAAATTCCTTATACTTAGAGTGACTCAGAGGTATTTTTATTTCCGCTTTAAAAATTAAATTACTCTCCCTGCTATTGTTTTTTTTTTGCGGTTTGAAATGAAAGGGAAAAAACGCATACAAACCTCTATCGGCTTGAGCACTTTGGGTGGTTTCGTCGGCAGAGGGGTCGTGTCTTCGTGATTGGGGTGGCAGACAACACCCGCGGCCTCCGAGCTGTCGCAGTCGCTGCTGCCCCAGCCATCGAAGCGGCACTTGCTCAAGTGGCTCTCGTCTCCGCCGCAGTACAAATTATCCATCCAGAATTTGCCTGGATCGTGAAAGAAGTGCTCGAGTATAAAAGGTCGCCAAATCGGCACCACTTGATTTCATACATTGTGTGTGTAAATTTTATATAATTTTTTTTTCTTAAGGGGGTTCGCGGATCGATACACGGTGTCGGGGGTATCGGTGTCTGTCGCATCAATTTGCATTTTTTTTAACGCCGCGCACACTTGACATCAGAATCAAGTTTCAAACGCGGCGAAGCGTTAAAAGCGTCAAATCAAATTTGAATCCAATTGAAAAATAATGTGTTCGAAAGACGTAAAAATGGAAAACTCACGTCTGGCTGGGCCGTATTTGGACGAGTGAGTGGCGGCACGTGCACCCTTTCTGAAGCCCAGCTGTCTGCAGACGACCTCGGCCTCCCGCAGGTCCCACTCGTCGTCGCAAACGTTGCCCCACGAGCTTTTGTGAAACACCTCGACGTTGCCTGTTGACAGGAAAATGAAATAAATTTAATAAAATCAATTCAACTAAAATGATCAAATATGCACTTTTTTGAAAATCACTATTTAATACAGAAAAATTGAAAATAATTTTAGAAATTTTGAGATTTTTTTTAGTGTTAGTATTCCTTATGGAGTATTTATAAAAATTGTGTTTTTTTATTAAAAATAATTATTCCAGGAAAACCAGAAGGAAGCTTGTCTCTGCAGTTCAAGATAGAGTCATGTCTATTGAATTTTTTATTATTATTGTTTATTTTTCAAAATTTTTTTACTAAAACTTTACTCAAATGTTTGCGCAACCAAAAAATTTGCAGAAAATTTTGATTGTTGTCAAAGGGAATAACAATTTAATTGTACCCAATCAGAGAACTTTAACACAACAATCAAAATATTTTTTACATTATGTAATTTTATTGTTGTGAGTTGTGATTATATCTTGCAAAAAATTATTTTGGGTAGGGATCATTGAATTTTTTTAACAAAAATGCACAACTTGGAAAAGATTTTGCCAAAATTTCTTGGAACCAAGATACTTTTATTAATAGTTGTTTCATTTTTTTTTTTTTAAGCAGAAGCTTTGGCTTTTTATGAGGAGGGGGGGACGGAGTTTTCTCGAATACAATACGCCATCAATTTTTGCAAGAAATTCTAAATGAAAAAAAAAACTATATATTCTGCCTGGGGTTTTTAATTTTTCATTTTCTTGTAGCTAAAATCAATTCAGAACAAAATATCAGTTTTAACCGTGGAGGTCATAAATGAGAGATAGGTGAGAATATTCTGGGTTTAAATACATAAATTGTTTAGAATTATTTTCTTTAAATTTTTTTAATATTTCAAATTAACGAGATTGTTGAAACAAAAAAATCAGTATTTAAGAATGAATAAAACTGATGAATTGAAGATTTTGCGTTTAATACGACGCCCTAACTTTTCACTCCACTTGCTATGTGTCTTGATTTTTAAATTTTATTCCTTTTTCAGTGCGAGTTGTATGGCCCATAAAATGAAAATCGCAACCAGCTCGCTCGTAAAACTCCAACTACTAGTCTTGCACTTTCAAAGCACTGGCAAAAAGTAAAAGAAAAAAAAAAAATTGGCGCACGTGTTGCGCCGAGGCTCTTAATGTAATTGCCAGACGGAGATTATATAATAAAGGACACCAGGAAATGGGATAAATCTGGCCAGCTGGCAACCTTTTTAAATTTTAACCCATGGAAAAATTTCAAAAAAAAATTACCTTCGTTCTTTTCGTGTCCCTCGACCAGTCTTATGTGACCCTGGGTGACCTTTTTCTTGAGGAATTTCTTGATCAGCTTCATTTTGCGCTCGCGGACTTGACTGGCCGCCTGCTCGGTGGCCACCAGGTGGCTCAGCACGGCCGTCGCCAACACGAGAGCGGCCAGCTTCATCGCTCGAGTGTCGCCGCAGAAAGATCCGCTCTTTACGTTCGGCGCGTGAAAAGTGATACTTTTACCCGTTGTGTCTACCTTTGAATGGTAGAAGGGACTCTCGCCAGGCAGTCCACACATGAATTACACTAACTAAACAGACGACTGCAGCTGGATAGGAACGGACAGGAAACTTTTAAAACAAAAACAATTACTAAAAATAATTTTAATTTAAAATAATCAAGAAATTTTTCGTTTAGTTTCATATTTTGATTGTTATATTTCTTAGAAATTTGAATTTAGTTGTTAAATTATTCTAAATTGAAATTCAAACATTGTAGATATAATAAAAATTTATTTCTGATTCTGAGATGAATTTAAAATTATTGAAGCTTTTTTAGTACTTGTCTGTTTTATTGTTATACTATTTTTTGATAGATTTCTGGTGGAGACAATTTGTATTTTAATTATCTTTTAAACAGTTGAATATATTTAAAATTAAACCCTAAAATACTTATAAAAATTCCTGTTTAAAAGTTATTTCATTGCAATTTTCCATAAGAATAGGTCAGAGTAATAATTCCTAGTTTTTTTTTAAGTCTCTTGCGTTGGAATAATAATCTGTGCGCAATAAATTCTTGGTGACAACACCAGCCATATTCGCGATATATTCTAATGATATACCTAATTTGCAGTCTCTTTGCACAGAGTGAGTCTCTGCAATGATTAGCATAATTCTATTGCTCAACCGCAAGCAGTCCGTGCCTGCTTTGCGAGACAAATAAATTACGCTCAGATGCCGGCGTTATAATATTAATTCCAAATCCGGCGCTCGTGCTCGGTGCCCACGACTATTCTCCTCTTTTTGAGCGCCGCTCCTTTCCATGTGTCATGCAATTCTCGTTATAAATGTTAAATCTGAGTGGGTGTTCTTTCTTCTCATTAAACTAATATCCAAGCGAATATTCGAGCTCTATGATAAAAATCTAAAAAAAAATCAGCATTTTTCATTTATATGGTGAAAGGCCATGCAGACTCTTTTATTAAAAGAGTCTTCAATATAATTAAAATTAATTATGAATTAATGAACAATATAGTTTTCCCTGGGAGTTTTTTAAGTAAATATTTATATTTCCGAGGGTTTTTTTTAATTAAAATTCTATAGTATGTCTAGGACGTGACCAGACGTGACCATCAAATACACAGGCAAATTTTTAGATTTATTATCATTTTTTTTTTAATTTAATTTAATTAACACTCAAAAATTGCACTGCTAAATATTTAAATTAAAGTATTCTACAATTGAGACCAAATTCCAAAAAGTGCACTTTTCTATCATTGAACCTAGATCAAATAAAATCTTCTGACCTTTTTATGTACTGCGCCTGCTTGCTATATTAGCTTTTTTATCTTGCCGCCGCTTCTGCGAATGCATATATATCATCAAGTTTTACGTCTTTCAACTTTTCTACTGTACATTTACTAGCGTGGATTTTTTTTTACTCAAATAAAGAATCGTTTTTCTTTCTCGGTGTTCTCAGAGAAGCACAAGGACGGCGAGAGTGCTATCGTGATACTCAAGAGCAGAACAACAATCTCCTTCTATAGCTTGTTGAGCGCGAGAAAAAGAGCCCCTGCAGGTTATGCAAACTTCACAGCACGGCTGCATTCTTTGCATAAGTCCCAGGCGCCTCATGTCGCCACTCTTTTTTACACACAGTAAGTGCTGCTGACTTGATTAAAAAAATATCAAGCCACTTTACTTAATTTCTGACTCTAGAAAAGAGGAGCAAAGTTAGTTTCCTTTGTTGGAAGTTAAAATTACTTTTGAATAAAAAAAAGTACAAAAGAAAAAAGTTATATTTAATAATGTGATTGGCGTAGAGTGAAAGAAGTTTCTCTTTTGCAGTTGATCTTTCTTGAACTGAAAGCGGGCTTTCTGAATAATTTATAATTTTTGTGAGTCAATTTTATTTATTTTTTCTTAAATAAAAATGTTTCTCATTTTGTTCCGAATGACGATTTTTTTCTCTCTATCATTATTTCTTTAATATTTTAGCTCAATTTTTCAAATTAATTTCAATGAAAATTCATAATTTCTTTTTAATATAATTATAATGCCATTTAAATGCCACCCTTTGCATAATTGTATAGCGCTCTAAAGATTTAAACTTCTTAATCAAAATAAAGGAATTTGATTGGCTTTAAAACGTCACGTGACCAGAGCTGCGCATCTGATTGGCTGGCACGTACGGGATTCGGCCTGGGTGTTCAGCGAGCGAATTTCGTGCTCCGATCATCGGGACATCGATTGGGCGACGGAAGCGGTACTTTCTCGTTTTCCTTCAGAAGAAATGCCAGAAAATGTTAAATACTTTAATAAACTAATGGTTTTAATACTGAAGCTTCGTACGGACGAGGTAAGGGATCGTTCTTGGGCCGACGGGGGCGACAAGAGCGCGCGAGAAAAATGGCGGGATCGATACTAAACGTCGAGGGGTTGGCGGGGCGCCATCTTGAAAACACGCCAGCCACCGCTGGTGCCGATGCCGATCAGTAGGTGTACGGTGGATCACACCGCCTCTCGCTCCAGCCGCAGCACCACACCCCGGCGGCGAACCGACACCTGATCTAGTAGTGGACTTGTGGATGGGACAGGGTCGATATCGGCCCGGGCACCGGCCAGGCAGTCAAGCTGGAACTCATGGAACTGGAGAACATTGTGGCCAACACGGTCTACCTCAAAGCGCGAGAAGGTGCGTTGAACTTTTGACACCTCCCGTGTCCCGCTAAGTGCTCTGACCCCCCTGCTCGCCTGCCCCCGTCCCTTGTGTCCGTGTCGCACGTTCACCCTGTTGACCATTTTCAGGACAAGCAGATAGTAACAAGGGCAAGAGCAAGAAATGGAGAAAGATCCTGCAGTTCCCCCACATCTCACAGTGCATAGACCTCAAGACTAAGATAGGTCAGTATATAAAATTTCTTCTCATCCGGACACCCTGAATCGTCTCTCATTTTTAAATTTCTCACCGAGTTCGCACACTTTGGAACTTTGCGTGTTAGAATGTAATTTGAGGCTCGCGGTTTCAAAGTTGGAAGTTTTGGGCGCGCCCAAAGTGTTTTTCAAATGTAATTTATGGTGACTCGTACGTCTTTGCCAAAAGCAAAAACCGTGGCCGCAAAAAATGACACTGGCGGCGAGACTAAAACGCTAAAAATAAACTGCTCGTCACATTTTATGCCAATCTGAATGGACGTTTTTTCTCGATTTCAGATGTAAGGTACAACTACATAGTAGACCAGCAGCCAATCGGAAGGCTGCTCTTCCGTCAGTTCTGTGAAGATGCCAAACCAGAATATCATCGATATAATATATTTCTCGACTCGATCGTGAGTATTTTGGCCAAAAAATTAAATCACCTTTTAAATTAAATTTAAATCTGCAGGAACACTATGAGGTGGAAGCAGACGAAAACCGTGCTGAAGTGGCCAAAACCATCTACGAGCGTTACCTGAGGAGAGATGTAATGAAAGAACTTGGGAAAAAGAAGTGCTTCTTCTTATTTGTTTATATTTTTGTGCCAGGCTGAAGACGCGGTGGACGTGTTGAACGAAGAAATGATCGAAAAGTGCAAGGAGAGCATGGCGAACGGCTGCAAAGATTTGTTCGACGACTGCATGAGTGCTGTAAAGTCTTTTCTGGCCAACGAACCTTTTAGGTTATTCGAAGGATCAATGTTCTTCCATCGGTACCTGCAGTGGAAGTGGTTGGAAAGGTGAGCAGGTCTTTAAGTTCTTCTTGAATTTAATTTTCCTCCTAAACCCTAAAAAGATAAACTAATCCACTAAAATTTAAAACAGATTCTATATAAAGCTTTTGTAGGTACAATTTTTTTTTAAAGAAAAATAACTTAACTTTAACTTTTGAAATTAAAATAGTATAGCTTAATCATTCAGTTTTTTTTAATCAATTTTAATTGTGTCTTTTCTCTTTTGCAGTCAAACTGTTACATACAAAACTTTCCGCATGTACCGAGTGTTGGGCAAGGGAGGTTTCGGTGAAGTGTGCGCCTGTCAAGTGAGATCAACGGGCAAGATGTACGCATGCAAGAAGCTGGAGAAGAAACGAATCAAAAAGCGGCGTGGCGAGGCGATGGTGCTCATCGAAAAGCAGATCCTGCAGAAAATCAACTCGCGCTTCGTCGTCAGCTTGGCGTATGCTTACGAGACCAAGGATGCTCTCTGTCTGGTGCTCACCATCATGAACGGCGGTGACCTCAAGTTCCACATCTACAACATGGGTGGTGACCCAGGTTTTGACCTCAACAGAGCACGGTTTTACTCGGCTGAGGTGAGTCTTTTTAAAGTATTGAAATTCTGAAGGAAATACAACGCATTAAATTTAATAATTTATGTTACCAAAGTAGAACAAATTTTTGTGGAAAATATTGAATCTTTTTAAATTTAATTAAAACTGCCAATAAATCCTAACAAGTTTAGTGAATTAATCTTAAAATCCTCATTAGAATTTTGGCTGTCAATGTTTTTTTGCAAATATTTGATGATTAATGTTGCCTCAAAATTCAGGTTCTTTGTGGTTTGGAACATCTGCACGCTGTGGGCATTGTCTATCGAGACTGCAAGCCGGAAAACATTTTGCTGGACGACCACGGCCATGTGAGGATTTCAGATCTGGGTTTGGCTGTTGAGATTCCGGAAGGCGAAACGGTCAGAGGGAGAGTGGGCACAGTTGGCTACATGGGTAAGTTCGTTGTCAAATAACCCAAATTTATTTTAAATTCAAAATTTACAGCTCCTGAGGTAATCGACAATGAGAAGTACACCTTCAGTCCAGACTGGTTCAGCTTTGGCTGTTTGATTTACGAAATGATAGAAGGGCAGGCACCTTTCAGAGCTCGTAAAGAAAAGGTTGGTTGAATTAAATTCAAATATTTAAAAAAAATCTAATTCATTGAAATGCAGGTCAAAAGGGAAGAGGTGGACAGACGGGTGAAGGAGGACGTAGAAAAGTACTCTTCGAAATTCAACGAGGAGGCCAAAAGTTTATGCCAACATGTAATAATCCTCGATTGAAATTGACTCTGATTTTTCATTATCAAATTTACGAATTTCCAGCTTTTGAAAAAGCGAGTCAAAGAGCGCATGGGTTGCCTGAGTGGTCGTCACGGTGCTCGAGAGGCGAAGCAGCACGATTTCTTCAGGTGCCTAAACTGGAAGAGGCTAGAAGCCGGCATAATGGAACCTCCGTTTAGTCCAGATGTGAGTTCTTTCAAATAAACAATAAATTCTCTTTTACCGAAAAGTGTTGTTTTAGCCCCACGCTGTTTACGCCAAGGATGTGTTGGACATCGAACAATTTTCAACTGTGAAAGGTGTGAATCTAGACGCAACCGACGACACTTTCTATAGCAAATTCAACACCGGCTCTGTGTCAATACCGTGGCAAACGGAGGTAGTTTTGTCTCATTTTAATTATAATGTTTTTAACTTTCCTTTGATTCTAGATGATAGAGACAGAGTGCTATAAGGAACTGAACGTTTTCGGCCCTAACAACACACCAACCCCAGATCTGATGATTGACGCTGAACCCGAGCCTGAAAAGAAAAGTTGCTTTCCGTTTCGAAGAAAGGTTGTTTGACTTCTTTGATGTTTTTAAAACAAACACTTAAAGACGATTCGTTTCAGAAGAAGCAGCAGTCCAGAACAAAGCCTATTCCAGTGGCAAAGCATTTGTACGAAGCTTGTCCAGCGGTTGTCACCGAGATTGCAAGCTGATGTGCTGACGAGATGGACACATTGCGCGCCACCAATAAATTCATAGCAAATTAATTTACAAGGGCAGCTGTGACGTCAGAACAACAGCAACAACCATCATCCTCTGCACCTGTCCTGGTGCCGTTCATACTCAAGAGGCTCCCGCTGAGTGAGAGCAACAAACACTCATCTTGTATGTACACTAACACAAAACTGGACCTGGCATTCTTTTGTCACTTAAAGTTGGGGCTCGGCCCTCCTTCGTTTGTGATTTTGCTAAACTTTTGCTTTTTCCCTTCGAAGCTCTGATTTTCGTGTAGTTTTTTAATTCGTACTAGCGGTTTTTGCTTGAGTGAGGCAACGGAGGATTCATTTTGTATTTTTGGTCCTGTTATGGTGAATGATAGAAATCAAATCAAAAGAATTAGTGTCGATAAAAGCACTATTCATGAAGCAGGATCCGTCAAAAAGGTAGCAGTGTAGCGAAGCTTTTACTGCTTGTTTTGAGAAGACGTTTACAGAATATATATATATTCTATTTTGGTGGAATAGAAATCAAACTAAAAGCAGCGGATCATGAGAGTACAACACTCGCGAGTTTTGCATTTAAAAAGTAGCACAAAAACCAACCTTTTGCATTTTTATACAAGCAAAGCGAAATTCACACACACACTCCGGGCAGGGATTTTTTCACCTTTTCGAATTTGTTTCTCAGCTTTCATGCATTTATTGCCAGTCTTTTGATAGGAACGGTGCTTTTAATGTATTCGCCAAAAATCAAATCCGGCACAAAATTAGTTTGTAAATAAAAAGTATCAATTTAAGATTGGGTCCTTCCAACCTGAAGGTTGCGTCAACCTCGGATAAATCAAACGAGCTAAACTTTTTAAAGTAGAAAAATAATTTGGTTTAATAGACTTGACTCAAATCAGGGTGTATGGCCAGGTTTGGCAACCTTCTCGCTGCCCTTGGACAAACCCCCACCAACCGTGCTAGTCCTTTCACCACCCTCCGAAAAAAAAAAACAGCCCCTCGAACGCTTCACCAAAGCCAACCTGGCCAGCAGGTGTTTTTATTGCTGCAGGTGCTTTCTTTGTTAGGTAGAAAATCACATTATCACATCAGAGAAATCCATCATTCCCGAGCTGGACAAAATGAAAATAGCAAAATAACGGCTCTCTCACGCATTACACGACACAATTTATATGATTTTAAGTGATTATTCTCATGTACATTGCTACGGAATTGAATAGAGAAAGAAAGGTAAAAAAAAAGAACTCTACGCGAGGAAAAAGAAGAAGAATGATTTATAATCAGTGTTTCTCAAGATATAGTGTGATATTATAGGACTAGCAAAGACATATAAAACTAACACGGAAATATTTATAATCTGTAGTAGTGAGGATGTGTTTGTTGGTTGAGTGTCGAAAAAAATCGATAGAACTTCTTCTGGTCAAGCAGCCGCACTTTGTATGAAAAAAAAATCGCAACTTCTCTTTTAACTCGATAATTTATATACGAAATAATATCCAATCTATCTGTGTGCACTACTAAACGATGAGTATAAACGATAGTGCTTCTGTGTTAAGGTGGATGTGTATAAAAAAAAACCTAAGCAAAGTCGGTGTGCCCATTAATTGATGTGACTAACGAAAAAGAGCGGTTCGTAGGCTTTGTTCTTTGCCGAGAAAACTTACTTACAAACGCGTTCATATCTGACAATTCTGGTTAAGGTCCTCTCCGATGAAGCACAATCTAGATCTAATCTATTTATATACATAATATGCTTATATAATTGAAAAACACAAAAACCTCGGTTGCATTTAACGAAAAAAAAATATACACACTCGATGCTTCCATGCTTTGCATTTTTTTAATTCCAATTATAATGAACGAAAGAGTGCTTACCAAAAATATATAGTTTTGCTTTTCTCACGAATATAAATACTAAATCACACAACAATCGATACGGGCTTCAAGACTTCATTCTTGCTTTTTCTGATAGTATTTATTTTTTGTCGCATTACTATATGTATAATCTTAATATTATGTGAGCAACTTTTATTATTCTTATAACCTAATTATGTTATGCATAGAGTTTATTGTAATATTTGACAATTATTTCATGTTCCTCTTATTTAGTGGCTCATCATGTATATTATTATTATTTATATATCAAAACTAATTTTTTAAGGTTTTCGCGCAATCATGTAAAGGAAAATGTTTGGTTTCCGCTCTACTTGTTTCGAACGCACAATCTGAGAGAAAATTTATATTAAAATAATATATACAAATCCGTGTCTCCTGCGAGAAAGAGCAGAACTTTTTCAATAAATAGCTTTTAAAACTCACGGCGAGTATCATGTAAAAAAAGAGAGCGCATATAAACATTCAATGTGATGAATCTAACAAAAAAAATCGTGCTGAGAGGATTCTGCGTGGGCGTGTGCTAGATACTTTTTGGACGAGCTGCAAAAAAAAAACGAGTTTGTGAGCGGCGCCCCAAAAACGCATAATTATATAATTAAATAAAAATACGAGAATAGATTATATGTGTGCCAATACCTTGTATTGAAAATGGAGAATCTGAATAAATGTTTGTTAAATATTTACAAAATGAAAATCGTTTTAATTTAAACAAAACCTGTGTGCAAATTTATTCTTTTGTTTACTAAAATTTGGAAAAAAAAATCAATATTCATTCCGAACAAGCGGGTTGCCTAATTCCGACTGCAGCAGGCGCAGAGGGCTGCGTGTCTGAACATGTCCGAACAACCCTTGGTGTGATGGTAGTGAGTTGTCCAACAGGTTGCCTACTTTCGATATTTGCAGGCGCTCTAAAGAGATACTGATTAATTTAAAAAGTAAAAAATCAAAATCGCATCTTTTTAAACCTCAATTTTTGATTATTATAAAAAAATTAAAAAAGTTTATGGTGATATGAAATTAAAGTCGGCTTATCCTTGATGGGTTTTGTGAGTTGTTGATTGTTTAAGAAAAAAAAACATCATCCTGCTTTTTCTTAATTAATTTACAACTCACAAAACCCATCAATGAAGAGCTGACTTTTAATTCAAATCACCTTGAATAAACGCTCGAAAAAAGTTTAATTAGGAATAAAATAAATAAATAAAAAAATTGGTGAAACCATTTCCATTTAACAGCAGAAAATTTAAGGGTCCTAAAATAGCTAAAATACAACAATAAATTTTTGCCATGCAAACGGGAGCAGTAAAAATAAATTATTCAAGAATTGTGGCTTGTTTTTTGCAAATTCGTGCAGCACGAGTGTACGAAAAGTGGCCCACACCCCTCGCTAATGCTATCTATACACGTGCTCTGTACGCGGGATCAATTTTTGTGGTGGACCGCACCTTTTTTGTAATCTACGGGGATTATAGAGAGGAAAAGCAGGTAGATAAAATTTGATAATTCAGAATTACACTAATCTGCTAATACTTTTGAAATGATCTTATAATCCAGGAAAACGGTTGATTATAGCTTAATTTATTTCTGCCATAAATAAAATCTTTTCGAATGAAGTTTAAAGGCTAAATGAATTGAATTAATTCAAATTAATAAAATAATTAAAAGAAATAAAATATCTGAATAGTATGTTTAATTTATTAATAATTAATTAAAATTCATGATTAAAAAATTAAAATTAATAAATTTCTTCTATTTTAGATTTCAACAGAGATGAATGAAAATTATTTTGATTTTCATAAAAAAAAATCTGCACAATTTCTGAAATACAAAAAAATCTCATTTTTTTTTTTTTTTTTTTTTTTTTTATAGATGCGGACGTGCGGTTCTGCCCCCTGGCGCGCAAAACGCGCACCTTCTCCAGAATGTTCCCCCTCCACGAGTGCTCCGGTGTGTAGCCCTCGGTCCACTCACTCCAGTCAAACACAAACTCCGACTACTTTTACAACAATAGTGTGAGAGAGAGAGATCGGCGTGTCTTGTCTGTGGTGCGGCCGACAGAGATTTCAGAGTGCGCGTCGCGGCAACAATCGATCCTCGTCTCAGCCCCGCAACAATAAGTGTGCGATGCAGCAACAGTGATCGGATATTCCTTTCGCCAGGTAACGAGCAAATTTTTTTCACTGTCCTCCGATTCGCCAAGAAGAAGTTGTGCCTTTCTTTTACCTGAGAGCGTCGTGTCGGCTCACCTGAGGGGGAGGGGTCGCCGTTTATTTACCCAGCTTCCCATTAATTAGGGGTTGCGTATTTTCGTGCGTAAAACACCCATTCAGAATTAATAGAAACCGTGAATGGACGGGTGCGGTGAATGAAAATTGAAATAAATTATTCCGATCGAAAATTAAAACCGGATTAAATTGTCATTAAAAAGTCCTTGGACGATTTCGCAACCTGGGCCTGAACAAAAGATGACGGAATTCGTCCTAAATTTTTTTGAATCAACATTAATAAAAAAAATTGACGTCACCTTTTATATTCAAATGGTGTGCATCTAATTATTTTATTACCTCATCTGATGATTGACACGCAAATCAATCAATTAAATCAGAGCCGATTGAGTCGCAGTTGGAATCTATAAATCCATTTGTTGTGATGCTAATTAAATCAATGGACTGTGTGTATATTTATAGCGTGTCGGCGCCGTTGTTGTGATTCCGTCGCTCCAATGGGCAGCTCGTCGCTCCGTAATAATAAAAAAAAAAAAATTTGCACACACGGTTATGGCAAACGATATAGGAAGATCTAAATAAGAAACTTGAGATGTCAATCACAGATATATATTGCTTAAGAAGACGGGGAGTCTCATAATGAGATTAAAAATTCTATCGCAGAAATAATTTATTTCAAGATGAATTCAATTTTCTCCAGACCTCATATGGATTTAATTTATGCAAGAGTAAAATTTGTAATTAAAGTTTGCTAAATTCAGCAATGCTCCGATAATTTTGACGGATTTAAGAACCAGATTTATTATTTTATTCCAATTTAAGCAAACCTGAAAAAAAATCAAGATACTTAAAGTTAGGCCATTAAATTTGTTAAAATTGCATACGGTTATGGCATTGATATGCAAATTAGGGGGAGAATTAATAATTATGTAAATCTGCTTAAAGACGTGTCTCTGGAGAAGGTAAAAATTTTTATTAGAGGAATAATTTATAGAAGATTATGTGGAGAACTAATTAAATTTTTTTAATTTAATTTGCTGAATTCAGTAGTACTTTTATAGTTTAGACAGATTAACATTTTATTCCAAATTAAGAACCTAAAAAAATTACCGAGTTAAAAATTCCGTGCACTTAAAAAAAGTAAATTTGCAAATTAAATTTAACTTAATTTTTCTTCGGACCTCACAGGTATTTTATTACATTGCGTTGATAATTTTGACAGATTTAAGAACCAGATTAATTATTTCATTCCAAATTCAGCTTTGCAAAATTAAAAATCCCGTCCAATAAATTTAAAAAATCCAGTTGTGCCGTTAAATTTAAATTTTGCCTTCTCTCTGAACGGCCGCAGGGGCGCGAAGTGAACTCTTTCCACGTTAGTGTGTCACTGCCCTGGCGATTCATGAATATTGAACGAAATTTCCGAAGTTTCTTTGAACGCTCCAGTTATTGTTGCCCCATCCGAGAGAGATAAAACAACAACAAGCAGGTGCCTCTTATGCACACCCAGTGACACTCTTGTTCATTGTGCCTTCTAATCACCCAGCCGTAATTAACTTTCATTGTCGGCAACCGAGTAAGTTTGTTTTGCAGCCTGTGAGAGAAGGAAGAGTGTGTTGAGTTTATTGCCTAAGTAGGCTTCTTTTTATTGGGCGCCGTGTTTGCGAACGCGTTAAACAAAAACTTCTCAAGGTGCATAATATAATTATTGTGCTGCGATTGCGCTCGACTTGTAAAAAGGAAAGTTGGCTGGAAGTTGTATAAAGTAATTGTCTTTGTCAACTACTTTCATCTTTAATTGATAGATTTTCCGCTCTAGGACAAGTTGAGACTGAAATTTATATTGGTTTTTGAAATGCGGAAGTAAAAACGAATTAAAATTGTTGGCTTATCTGAAAAAGGAAATTTATTGAAAGAAGCCACTGATAATTTGAAATTTGAACCGATTATTATAATTATAAAGTCTTTAACTATTTTTAAACTTGCGTTAAAATTAATTATTTTTATGAATCTTTCTTAATATCTTTCAGATTTAAAATTTGTGAAACTAAATAATCAATTATTTTCTTATTTTTCTTGAAAAAAGTACTTATTTTGAAATTTTTATTACTACTTTTTGCTATATATTATTTTAATTTTTGCAAATTTTTTCAAATTTGATCTGAAAATAAGTTAATTCTAGATTTTAGAACAAAAATAAAAATAAATTATAAAAGAAAATTAATTTCAACTTTCTGAAATAGTGACATTGAACTATAAGTTGAGTCTAAATTATTGCTTTTGTTGTGACTTATTTAAAATATTTTGATTTTATCAGAGGCTTTTAGTTGCAAATTTATTTATGTATGATTTTTCAATTGGCAACTATCAAAAATTAAATTTGAAATTTTTTGAAATTACATTAATTTTTTAGACTTTTTGCCCAAAAACACAACACTTCCCTATCAATGATTTTTTTTTAATTTTTCCAAAAAATTTATATAAATACAAAACAACGACAAATATTTTATTTATATTTTTTTTTCCAATTTTTTATCCAAAACATGTCTAATTTTTTCCTTAAATTCCAGAATTTTAATTTTATGACTTCAAATAATGAATTTATTTCCTAATTTCAGCTAAATATAATAATATATATTTTTTTAATATCTTTACTTTTGAAATAGAGATTTGTCATGTGTCTTTTTTTTCTATCCGGTTTTTCCCCTTTCGACGAAACAATTAAGGCAGAGCGTGATTCGCAAAGTACACACACTGAATGTTGTATGTGCCGTTTCTTTTTTGACGCCCGTTCCACCCACGGGCCTTATTTTTATCAGCGGCTGCTTAATGTCTTATCTCGTTTGTGTGTATATCAACGAGCCTTTTAACGCTAACTAGAATATTGCGCGTGACGCACCTTTTTGATTATATATCAAACTACTTTCGAGCAACATAATCTCCGGGAAGAATAAGAATTGCAAAAACACGGAGAGGAATTCGATACGGGTGATTGTCTAATTGATTCGCCCGCATGGAATGGAATTCTGTTGCAGTATTTTCAACACGCCTCACTTGTGTTGAATAACATATTGTACGATTTGCTTGATTGCGCTACTTTTCATTGCCATACTGCGCGGCGCCACCCATCCCTCTCTGTTTTTTTTTCTACTCGGCCAAAGTGCTTGAATAAATTCTTATGTCGCCATGCTCGGCTGCACTTTTCTGCGCACCGCCCTGTGCCCGATTCATTTGTGCAAAAATTGAGAAAGGTGTTCTCATTTGCATAATAATCTACGTCGTAAGAAAAATCTGGAAACTTGTGCAAAAAAAATTAGTAAAGTAAAATTTGTATTAAATGATTCAAATAAAAAATATTTATTGCAATAATGAATTTTTATTCAAATAATTCCATTTTTTTTAAATTTATATGGAAATTAGTTTATCATTTAAATATTAAAAAATTCAATAATTATTTTTATTAAAATAAATATTCATATTTGTGAAAATTGATTTAAACTTCAACAAAAATTGCTATATTAAAAAAATCTAAAGCTCTATTTGCATAATATTTTTAGTTCGTCTGAAATGCTCGGCGTCTGCTCACTTTATTGCCCCGTCCAGATTAGATTTCGCAGCTCTCGGAATTAAATGTGTGCATATAAAAGTTCACGGACGCTAATTGATAAAGAAGAGCGCCGGAATTGATGCCGTATAATATATTTATTTTGGACGGCGGCGGCGCTGCTCTTTTTTCCAAGTGGCTCTGGCCGCGAGGAATTCGAGACGGGCGTAATTAGCAAATCGCTCTCGCAATAAAAGAGAAGCTTGTGCTGGCGTCGGCAGCCCAGATAAATAAATACGTATTCGCCAAAAGTTGCACGCTGCGCTCTGGAATGTTCGTTATCAGCGGATTTAATTGGGTGCCACTTGACTTGGCTGCTCGAAACTGACAAAGTCAATTTGGAATTTTCAGAAGAAAAAGTAAACTTTTCAATTTAAGGATGATTTTATTAAATTTAAAAGATAAAATTAATTAATAACTTTGAATTTTTAATGAAAAAATATCAAATTCCATTAATAAATAAAAATTAAATTTTAAAATAAGATAAAAGACCAGTTTTTAAGCAATGAATAGTTTTAAAACTTTTATTAGAAGAGAATTTTAAAATTTAACATAGAATTTTTAAACTGTCTGTCAAAAACAAGTTTTTGAAACCTTTCAATAGCAAAAATTTAAATGTATTGCAAAAAAATTCTCTCCAATAAAGATTAAATTTCAGATTAATTACCATATTAATCTTATCTGCTCTAAAATTTTTATAAATACTAGTTTTCTTCAATAATTTTAGGCCAATTGGAGTTTTTTAGGAAAAACTGTAAATTAACTACAAATTTAATTAAATAATTGAAAACGACAATTTTAATTTTGACCAAAAGGTTTTCAGATGTTTCATTAAAAAATAAAATGAATAAATAAATTACAAAAAATATAAATTATTTATTTTACTCTAAATATTTTCCAAAACCTTTTTTTGCGGAAAATTTATTAATTTTTTTTAAATATTTCAAAAAATTTTACCAAATAATATGTTTTTATTCTGAAAATTTTATGAATAGAATATTTGTAACTTCTAGAATTATATAAATACTAAATTTGAACCATTCCTCGTTGCTGTGAGGGTGGAAAAGGCGCAGCTGTAAATCAATTTGAGCGGCGGAAACGGGGCGGCCGCCGTGAGTTCCCTTCCGTGAGAGAGCGCGCTCTTGGTTTCGGAACACCTGTTGTCGTCGTCTCATTAGATAAAATAATAACAGCTATTCCGGCGAAAGGCCCTTTGTAAAATCGCGCTCTACCGTATTTTTATTTCAGCAGACACGAAATGAACCAATTACGTAAGTATCGAGTTATTACGAAACTGACTGAAAAAAAATACAAAAAATTTAAAACTTTCACGTCGAAGATCGAGTACGCGTTATTCGCTGACATTAATTCTCACTTTACAAAATGCGGTTTCGTCCGTCCCGTGACATGGAGATTTCAAGTTTCTCCAGAGAGCACCTGATGCATTTATTATTTTATATGAACATAATTCTGCGGCGTCGCGGCTCACCGCAAATAATGCACGTCGCGCGCATTTTTGCGCCAACAAGCGACGACTTGTTTTTTCACATTTATTTTAATCTCTCTTTTAAAGTAGGAAGGAGTGGGCCGAGTACAGTTTAGTTGTTACGGTTACCAATGCATAATGGCCCACACTCTTGTTTTTGTGAGTTCTGACAGCTGCAGAAATGACGGACGCTTGTAATAATTGTTGTTGCACGCCACTCTCGCGAGTTAACACCTGGATAACGCGTTAAATTGTTTTTTGACGTTGAGCGTTTGGATAATTAGACACTGAGAAATTTGCAAATTGATATACTTCTGGTCGTGATTTGCTCGGTTTACTTTTTGTTGAATAATTAAATTTTTCATTTTTGTGCCGCATCGGAAAAAAATCTATTTCAGCATACAAATTAATTTTTTTCTACATATTTGAAAAGCATTAAATAATTTATTTTTGCTGTAAAAATCCAAACTTTGCTCAAAAGATAAAAATAAATTTGTTAAATTGATCTGAATTTTTTAGCGCTTGCAATTCCCAAAATGTAAAAGATTTTGATAAAAAATTCACACCCGCTTTCAATTTTTATCTCAACCTAAATCAAATTGATCGAGATCATCAAACAATCTTTATTGTTACACAGAAAGGGAAACAAAATTGATAAGCTATACATTTGTTATGTTTTTGGGAATATTTGCCTTTTTAGAAATTGAAATCCGACAACAAAATTAAAATTGACCATTCAGATCAACAGTTATGAATCCAAAAGGTTCAAGAACTTCACAATATTTCAACGTTTGGACGAAATTTAGAAGGATTTTGAAAGTTCTGAAGGAAAATGCCATTGAATAAATTTTAGAATCTTTCAGAATCTGAATAAATTTTATTAATGTTTTTGCAATCCACCTTCGGATTGACAATCCAATTTGTGAGATTGAAAAACTACAATTTTAGTCATATTTTTTCTTTATAATATTAAAGGATTTGATGAAAATTTTAATCATTCCATTTAGGCATAAATTTCTCAAAAATTACTTCAAAAGCTTTTAAAATACTATTTGTTACACAGAAGAAGAAACAAATCGATCAAGCTATAAATGTTTCATGTTTTTGGGAATCTATGCCTTTTGAAAATTGAAAGCTTTCAAGAAAATTAAGATTGACCAATCAGATCAAAAGTTAATTTATCTCTACTTGAATTTTACAAATTTTCAACGTTTGGTTCAAATTTTGTAGTTTCAAAGGAAATTGAAATTATTTTCATGCTTTGATTATTTATTTAATATAGATTAAATTTTTAATCCAAATACCTTTATCAATTGTTTTGCAATCCAATATTTTTTGAAGTTTAAAAACAATATTTTCATGTCCTATTTTCCTACTCTTAATGATGAAGAATTCAATGAAAATTGGGTATAAATTTCTTAAAAATTACCTCACTTCACATGCAAAAAATGAAAGTTAAAATTCTCTCGACTGCTGAAACATCGTTAAAGTTATAAACTTTCAAAATCCCGTGCAACTAAAATTATTTATTGCGACCGACCACTGGTCAGTCAGCACGAACAGGCAATTTTCTGCCTCATAATCAATTTTTTGGCGACCTAATTTGCTGCCAGTGCAATAATTCACGATTTTCGTCGGTCTCAATTTGAAATTTTGCATATCTCGGACAAAGTGGGGCGTCTCGCGAGTTGTGTCGAAACTCCTGTCGATCAAGGAGAGAAATGGGTGGTGCAGACGAATCCCATCTGCTCTTTCACCTACTCACTTGGCGAAGCAGCCATTAATTATTTAGTACGTCCGACAAATCTCTCTTCTCTCTCGAACGGTAAACCACTGCTGATGACTCAATCGTCGGTGATTTGCAAATTTCGGTACGGATGGAATATTTGGATTTTTTTTCGTTCACTCTCGGCACCGATCGGACACGGGCAGATGGTGCGAAATTCGCATTCTGTCCGCCCGGCGCAGGCGAGATTTCCATTTCAATCACCGTCCATTGAAAAGTGAAATGATCTGCACCGGCTCTCTCAAGCGGAGATTCGCCTTTGACGCCTCACTCGGTGCGAAAAAAAAGCATCAGTTGAAGAGCTCACAAAAAAATATCTATATACAGAGTTCATTCATGGAAAATTCCGATTTGAATAGGAAAAAAATCTTATCTTTTGATGGATTAATCTAATCGAATTTGAAAAAAAAGATTATAAATAATCACGATTCTAGTTTGAAAAGGGAACTAAATTAAATTAAAAGTTTCTCTAGGGAATTACAAACAATTCTAACTTCATTTAAAACACTTTCAAATCACTACGATAAGGAAATAATAAAAGAAAGACAAATTCCAGATTTAAAAAGAGGATTTGAAGATTTTTATAATTATAAGATTAAGTAAAAAGGATGAGAAAAATTTGAAACTAAATTTTTCGCACAAAACGTATCTTTGGTAAAATTTAATTCCTAAATTTGAGGCCGATTTTTAAATTCCATTTATTTTAAATTGAAAAGTGTAAAGCTCCAAAATGAAGCCTATTTCCTTCCTGGCGTAATTTCCCAGTTTACAAATAATTACAATTTTACTGCCAGTAAAATCTTATGTAATGGGACAAAAATTTGGCTCAATTTTGTTTAAACGACAATAAAAAAAATGGTAATTAAATCAATTATGACTAATTCGAAAATAATTATAATATACGGATGTTTTTTTTCCCCGCATTTTAAATAAAAAAAAAAGGAAACTAGTATTTTTTTTTGATAATTTTCTTAACAAATTCAGTTGGAAAGTGAAAATTATTTTCATGTTTAGGATATTGCCTGAAATTTTAATTACTGGAAGCTAAAATATTTAATCCTATTTTGATATAACTGACAATGAGATTTCTAATTAAACGATGAATGATTTTCTCCCTGAATTCCAGAACTGCAAATTAAAATTTCTTTTAGAGACCAAAACAAATTTTTTGTAATACTTTTATGATCATTTTGTTTGTAAATTTAGAATATTTTCCAAGAAGCGTGCTTAAAATTTGCCAATTTTTAAACGTTTTCACTTTTTAGTCTCATAAATTTACTAAACTGCTGTTTTTAGAGCTGGAAATTCCGGCTGGCTCTCGTTTGAGCACCACAGACGAGTTCGCCTGTCCAAACATCAAACGCGGATCTATCTTTAGCGAAAACAGACTCGCACACAAACATTCCGCGCAAATATTTCAAGTGAAGCGTGAATGTCACAGCATATATATTGCAACCCGCGTGAGAAGAAGCCCTGGAACGAGCAACAGCGAGATAAATACGCCCGCCCGTCGTACATAACGAAACACATAAACACATCCCCTCGTTGGAAGAAAAAAAACTAAACACATTTTGTTGTTTGGCACGCTCGGTGCGCATTCCATCGGTAGCTGCTGGATTCAAGAAGGGCTTCCTCTCCGGTATTTTATAATGCACGGGCGAATTAAGGTCGCAAGGTCGTTTTACTTTAAATTAATATCCGTTTCTCTCTCTGCGGCTGGGAAACTCTTGAAGTTGTAAAAGCCATTAAAAAACATGATAAACGCAGCCTCCATTTAATAATCCCAACGTTTATATATTTCCAGGTCACAAATATATATACACAATTTCAAAGAAACACCACACAGATTAATTAGGTTTTATGGGATATCAAATTAAATAATAGACCGTTTTCTTTTTTTATTTGGACAACACAAAATAGGAGTTAAATTGAACCTAAAATTATAATGATCCAAAAGTAGGTGAAATAAAACTAGAAATAGAAAATTGGCCGTTTTATTTTATTCAATTTGTTTGTTTTTTTATTCACAAAAGGAAGCAAATCGAGCATAAAATTAAAAAGAAGTTTTTTTTTACTTTCCACCTTTTTTTATCCGATGGCAGGTGCGAAACGGAGATTTAAATGTATTTTATTGAAATAAATTATCCGCTGGATGATTTCCAGAAGACACGGCTGGTGTGTGTTTTGAGCGGCCGTGTCACTGACCTTAACGCCACACCGACCATGGCACGTTAACTCTCTTTCTTGCCTGCCTGCAAATGCTCCATAGGTATTGTTACAAATGCACTCGGCAGAATTTTAAACGCTCTCCGAACCGTACTCAAATAAGAGCTGCCAATTTCGTTCGGGGTGTGCCAAGTATGGCGGCGGTTTCGCGACACCATAAGTCACTCAAGGTTATAATCCGTGCCAAAAAAAAAAAAAAAATGAGTCTGCATTTCCTTGGTATTTTTTTTTAAATGCCGAAATTATTATTTATAAAATCAAGTGTTCTATAAAAGTTGAAGGAAAATAAGTAATTTCTGTTTTACTCTGAACTGTTCTAGAACAAAAAACAAATCAATTATACTAAAATCTAACTTACTGGTGAAAACAAAAATGTTGGAAATTGAATTAAACGATGTTAATTTGTTAGCGTGAGTGTGTTTTTTTTTTGTAATTTTAATTTTCAAATTCAAGTTTTAAGTGCATTTAGAAACTTAGCGAGAAAACCATTGCTCGGAAAACGAATAAAATGTCAAAATTGCAACTTTTAATAGGAAATTATAATTCTTTTTCCTAGTCATTTTCAGTATGTTGCCGTTTGTCTTAATTTTTGAGTTTTAAATAAAGCATTTTTTTTTTTTTGAAACAGAAATCCAAATCTGTTTTGAAAAGAATTCAAATTTCTCAATTAATAGTTGAAATTTGGACATTTTAATTCGTTTTCCAGGCATTGGTTTTCTCGCTCAGTTTCTGAATCTACGTTAAAATTTCTTTTGAGGAATTAAAACTATCAA